TGAGGCTGAGTCACAGAGAAGGCAAGACAATGGCAAAGAACACCAGGAGGGCAAGGATGTCAGAGCAGCATGTGTCAAGGAAAGGGAGTGTGGCAAGGGAGCAAAGGGTCTGCTGGGGGCAGATGCATGCAAGCAGGTTGCCCACTACATTTGGGGCCATGGCCGGTGTGGGCAAATTTGCAGGGGCAGCTCGTGGGAACAAGAGCTGGCTTGGAGGAAGGGGGGTGAGGGCACAGAGGGCACCATTTCCAGCACGGTGTTGGCAGTCCACTTTGAGGCGGTGCCATCACTTACCGAGCTGGCTCTTATAACAGCCATGGAGGGTTTCCCACCCTATTACAAGCTGGCTGCAGTGAGTGGTGGGGTACACATATCCCCAGGCCGTCTCCCAGTGTGCTAGAGAGTGCATGCCCAGAAGTGGATCTGTTGGACCAAGGGGTCTGCACACAGCCCGTCCTGCTTGATGCCACCAGTCTGCCCCTCGAAGGCTGTGCTGCGCTGCTTCTTGCCACGTGAAGGGCTTTCTTACGATGTCTCATCAAGCTCTGATCTTTGGCCGTAAGGTGGCATTTTTTTTTTTTTTAGCATTTTTTTTTTATTCTTATGTTAATCCCCATACATTACATCATTAGTTCTAGATGAAGTGTTCCATGATTCATTGTTCGTGCACAACACCCAGTGCTCCATGCAGAACGTGCCCTCCTCAACACCCACCACCAGGCCAACCCATCCTCCCACCCCCCTCCCCTCTAGAACCCTCAGTTTGTTTTTCAGAGTCCATCTTCTCTCATGGTTCGTCCACCCCTCCGATTTCCCCCGCTTCATTCCTCCCCTCCCGCTACCTTCTTCTTCTTCTTTTTTTTTCTTAACATATCTTGCATTATTTGTCTCAGAGGTACAGATCTGAGATTCAACAGTCCTGCACAATCCACAGCGCTTAACAGAGCACGTACCCTCCCCAGTGTCTATCACCCAGTCACCCCATCCCTCCCACCCCACCCCCCACTCCAACAACACTAATTGCAGGAAACGTAAGGTGGCATTTTAACACAGGCTTTATTCTTCTTATTTTGAGTAAAGCCGAGAATCTTTTCGTACATCCAAGAGCCGCTTGTATTTCTTTTTCTGTGAACTCTTTGTTGGTATCTTTTAATATTTTACATTGGGCTTTTGATATTTTCCTTATTGAGTTATATTAATTATCTTTTTGAGTATGAGATGTTGCCATTTTTTCTTCTGCATAAAGTCTTATTTTTATGCTCTTGAGTGTGTCAGTATTTTCTTTTATGTTCTGGATTTTTATCATCCTTCCACTCAAATAAATTTAAAAAATTCCTCCCAGCTTTTTCCTTTTCTTTTCTTTTTTTTTTAAGTATTTTATGGCTTCATTATGATGAAATTAAGCTTGCAATCCATTTAGGATTTATTTGTATATAAGGCACAAGACAGAAACCCAGTTTGATTCTTTTTCCTGGATAGCTGCCCAGACACTGAAACACCACTCACGTAACTCTGTCCCCCTTGGGTATGAATTACTGTATTTGTCACTCCAGGGGAGGAAAACACTCTTCAATCTGCCCTCCTGTGTTCTCTGGCTAAGGCCCTGCAGACAAAAGGCAGACTAACAGGAGAAAAGCAGGTGATCAGTGCATGCAGTACACACGCACACAGGGAAACTCAGTGATGAGTAACTCAAAGAAGTGGTTAGAACTTGGGCTTATAGCACATCTTAACAAAGAACAAGAAATCCAGACAGAAGTGACAAAGCCCAGGAAAAGAATTTTGGGTTTCCCGGGGTGGCAAATTGTGGGGAGGCAAGTACACGAGGAAATCCACAAACGGGGAGAGCTAGCTGCAGTGTCAACTCCTGTACTGGGTCGTGGGGTTGCGGGGGCTGTGGGGGCTGCAGGGACAGGGCTGCCTGGTGATTCACCTCCATCCTTCCTGCAGACAGGGGAATGGGGCTGTCTCTACAAATTTATGTCCTGCTTCTAGGCAAATGGGGGGAAGAGCAGAGCTATTTCTTGTGAACTCTTTGTTGGTATCTTTTAACATTTTAACCTGCTGCTTCTCGGCTGCCTTCAGCTCAGAATAATCCCAATGCCTGCATGACCTGCGTGGCCTGCGTGATCTGTGTGGGTGGCATGTTCTGCTCCCCTTCACCATGTTTATCTCTCCTTTTTGTTTCTTCATGGAATGGATGGCACTTTGCCATCACATGTGTTTGATGACCCTCCATCTACTAGAATACGACCCCATGATGGCAAAATCACCATTTGGGACACCTATATTTTTTTATGATTTTAGTCTGTAAAATGAGTGTGTGGCGGGGGGAGTGGGCAGCACTAGATGGATGAATGGGGACAAAGGTGGTGCTCTATGAGTCCAAAGGACCCAGTTCTCAAATCCTGTTACACTCTGTGCAGCAGTTATGAAATAAGGGGAGGGGGTGCTGAATCTCATGAGGACTTCATGCTGAATGAGGGGAGGTGGCGGGACCATGACAAAGGGAGGCATCAGTTACTTTCAGGTGACTGAACAGGTGCCCGAGATTCCTGTTAGCTGAGCTCTGAGGTCATGGCTTGGCTCACTGAGGTGGGGTCATGCTGAACAGGTGGTCGAGGTGCAATCTCTGTTATTAATGTCAGGGGACCACCTGTTACTGCCACCTGAGACTCAAACCAGGATTCAGTGGGATTACACAAAGCGAAGTAATTATTGCTAAATGAACATACTGAGATAGGACCACTCACGCAAATGCACTGTGCTAGACAATAAGGAGGAATGAGGAGAATCGTGACCTCTGCGGTTAGACCGTGGAGTTAGCAGGCATCTGAGGGTGGCAGTTACTACGTTGCATCACAACCCTATTTCAAGTGGAAATGGATGCCATCAGCCTGGGTGCAGAGACCATTCACATGCACACAGGTTAGCCCATGAGCATCAGAAGCAAGTATGTGCCGGTGATGGAGAGAGGACATTTTTCCCAAGAGCAGGCTGATTTGCAACCATGTAGGGGGATTCTAAAGCTCACAAGGGGATCCTTTGGACTTAATTGGGTGCTCAAGTTCTGAGAAATTTCTGGAATTTCTGACATTTGCAAATCTTAAGGACAAAAGATTGAGTCTCTGAATGTGCCCTGGGATGCTGGCTGACTCTCAGTGGGAGGACTTGCTTGACAGATGGGTTTATTATTTGCACTGCCTGTCCCCAACCCATTCTAATGTCCATGGGTGGTTCCCACGAACCGCACACAGGCGGGAGGGAGGCCTGTGGCCCGAGCTGCATGGCCCACCAACTCAGACGCAGAAGTCATACAAGTTAGACACTTGACAGTTATCCTCTTGGGAAACTGTCACCCAAGGCTGATTTCTTTCTCTCATTGTCCATGTTGGCAGATCGGGAAAGAGATCCGAAGCTTATTATGGGTATTTAAGGAGAGACTTACGGGAAGCTTCCTGCCGGGTGATATCTTTCTGGCCTGTTGGGACCATCAGAGACTTGGCTGGCTTTGCTCACCCTAATCTGTCACTTGATATAACAAGCACAGTGCAGAGATGCACTGAACTTTTTTTTTAATTAAACAGATAAAATATAGATGCTGAGGTTTATATAGTTCTCTAAAGAGACAGCTTGACCTTTTTCAATAGGAATTTACTTTTAGAAGGTACTTGGGTGATCATTTTGATAGAACCACAGTTGGAACATTATTATAAAATAAATGACGAAGCATAAACATCAAACACACTCATTCTTTTTAAATGAACTTTTTCTGAGTCACAGTGAATCAGTCTACAGTCTTCATGGCATCTGAACTTCTAGAATAGTCTTTGCCCACTCCCTGCAGTGAATTCAGCAGCAAAGACGAGGCTTACCTGAGTAGTCTCTTACCTAATTTAACAAGGACAGATTTCTCTCAAGGCCATTGTCTTGTGGTGGCAATTATTTTTCTAGGCGATAGAAAATAATTTCAAGAAGTACTTAGCATAGAAAACTTGCAGAATGTTTCTGAGGAGCCATTGTGTTGTTTGTCATTTGGCGTGTCCAGACCCCCGTTTCTTTCTTTCTGTGTTCTCTTACTATTTTGTCCTTTCCCCACGAGCGAGGTGAGATATTCATGTTCACCCAGCTCCTTTCTGGGCTCCTGACTTTAGAACCACCTCTGGCCTGTCCCTGTCACTTCCCACTGAGGCCAGCTCACAGAGTGACCTGTTTGCTTCCAGGCACCTGCCGCCAGCCACATCCTTCCCACCCCCTGCCTCCAGTATCTGGACCAGAGCAGCCTCCATGTGGTCTGGTCCCCATGCTCCTCACCTCCCGAGGTCTCCTGCCTGGGGGACCCTCTGCAGCCGGGTCTCCCGTCACACCCCCATACCGAAAAGTCTCCTTGCCTCCATTCCTCAGAGCAGCGCCCAGCACATAGTAGCTGCTCAGTAAATGTGCGCTCGAGGGAGCTGCCCTGCACAGACCTCATGTCTGGCTCAGCCGTGTCCCACCGGAGTGCCTCCCCTCCCTCGGAGCCCTCTTGGTTTGATGACGCTTCCCAACTGCAGAAGCTGAGAATAACACTCAGAGGACCAAGTTTCTTTTGATAACATTCTGACCCACTTTGGAGGGATGCTGACCCGTAGCAGTACTTGATCTGGTCTGGGCCTGTGCCAGGACCGTGACCTTGAAGGGAACACCAGGAGGCCACATGTCTGGGTACTGGTTTATTAGATGGCATCCTAACCAAACATACAACAGAGGAGCGTGGCATCAATACCTGTCACACGGTCAGGATGCATCCCCAGCACCAGGAAGAACCAGGGCGCTGCCCGTCAGAGGTTCATGATGACCTGTTTGTTCAAAGGGAACTGGGTGACCCCCGCGGGGCGAGGGGACTGCTGTCTACACTGAATGCACAGCAGATGTTTTCCCTGGGGATGTGCACGTGTGGTCTCTGGGTTGCAGAATCCTGATTAACGTGACAAATGGATCTCTCTTCCTGCCTCCTTAAGGGAAGCCATCAGCCGTGTGTGTGAAGCCGTCCCTGGCGCCAAGGGAGCCTTCAGGAAGAGAAAGGTACTGTCCCCTGTGTCTTCTCCCCACGCGGCACCTTCAGTCACACCCCACCCATCAGGGCCCCGTTAGGGTCCCCCTGCCATGCGCTCGGCAGGACAGTTGGCTGTCACTGGCCGACCCAAGTCAGCACCCCCGTTGCACCCCAGGGGCCAAAACCTACAGTCAGTGATGAGAACAGACACGTGAGACAGGGCCCGAGCTCCACTCAGCCTTTACGGGCATGAACTCACTTCACTGGAGCAGCATTTGGGACAGACGTCCCGCTGCTGTGCTGGTAGATTTAACCAGCGGCTCTCGGGGGCCGGAGTAAGAAGCACCAGATCTGTAGCGTTTGCCAGTTTCCGTGGTGTGTGTACTCCGCCTGGCCGATTTCAAGCTCTAATGTGACATCCCTGAAGACGTGCAGCAGCACATCATTGGATGGGTCCCCACCTGGTGCCCAGGTGCAGTAGACGCGCGTGGCCGGAACAGCACATGACCGTTAATGTAGCAGAAACAGCTAGAAAGTGACAAGTTTTGAGTATTGTTTTTTTGTTTTTTAAATGTAATTTATTTAATTGCAAGTTTACATAAATTAGTTTTTCACAGCAGCTGCTTTTAAAGCCCAGCTCATAAAATTCCTGCAAATGTAATAATTGTCTCTCATTAGCTGGTATAGCCTGCTCCAAGATGCCACGGATATTCCCGTTTTACAGATGGCATAAACTGAGGCATAGAGAGAGAAGGCACAGTGTGCGTAGGTGGTGGGCTGAGCTCAAGCCCAGGTCACTCCACCTTTTCACTCTGAGGTGGTTAGGTCGGTAGGGGAAAATACAGATTGAAAGAAAGCTCAGAAAAACTCTCTGGGCAGAAGTCCAGCAGGTACGTAACGAAGTGCTCACCATCAGGCCTGTCTATGCCCAGACTCTATCAGGGGGAGCATCTCTGGTGTCTCTGAGTCTGTCCTGAGGCTGAGGTTTGCAGGCAGCTTGCGTGTTTGCCCCTGTCACTTCCCGGGCTGCAGGTGGGTTTTCGTCTTCATGGCCTGTGGACATTGGTGAAGCCACAGGGCAGCCGGGTTTCAGGCAGAGAACTTTGGATCTTGAATCTCGCATGCAGTAGCTAGGCGGGAGCGTGAGCCCAGAGCTAGGGAAGCTCCTCTTTCAGAGCCAGGCGAAGGTGGTGGAAGTAAGGTGCGTTTCCGGGCTCCACCCCAGGTGTGACTTAATCAGAAGGGGGGGGCGTCTCTATTTTTAAATAGCTCTGTCAGGAGATTAAAAAGCAGTGCATGCCTGGTTAAGAACGAGTGTTAATTGGCATATCTAAAGAGGGCACATTCTCATCTGAAAGGGAAGCGGGGTCGGTGGGCCCTGGACGGGAGGCGGGTTTGGCAGTGCCCGGGGGAAGGTGCGTGGTGGGAAAACGCCGTCCGTCGGGCCCGTGTGAAGGACCTTTAGTTAAGCCGAACCGGGTCGTCCGTCCTCGTGCGGGCCCAGCAGGTTCTAAGTCTGTGAGCTCTGGCCTGGATGATGTTCCCGCCAGAGGGTTTGTGCTCCATACCCCTCAGCAGTGAGCAGTCTCGAGACTCCGCAGGATGCTCTTGGCCCCGTGAGCTGGACCCTCCTACTCTGGCCCTGAGTCCTTTAAGGAAACCGGTTTCTGGGCCTCACAGCTGTGCGCACTGGTCTGTGCACGTGCCCCAGGCTTAGGAGGGACACGAGACGCGTCCCCCCAGGAGGCACCCAGACTGGGCGCCGACGTCCCGCAAGTGTCCATCCTAGAGTGCAGCGTGTGCGCAGGCACGGATCCCTCCGCCTGTGCGTGCTGCAGAACTTGTGTGTTAGCGTCGGGCCCCGCCTCCCAGCTCCTTCGTGCCACAGTCTCCTTCCCGAGCCCCGGGAGGGCGGGAAGGTGGAGGTTTGGGGGCGTGGCAGACGGGAACCACTGAGAGGCTGCGACAGTGGGAATCCAAAGCTAAAATCACGCTGCTTGATTTCACAGCCTCCCAGCAAAATGCTGTCCAGCATCTTGGGCAAGAGCAACCTCCAGTTTGCGGGGATGAGCATCTCCCTGACCATATCCACCGCCAGCCTGAACCTTCGGACGCCCGACTCCAAACAGGTCTGTAGGCACTCGGGCGCCCCGCCCGCCCACGGCCCCCACGACGGGTGTGCGCGGCAGAGCACGTTCATCTAAAATCTCCACTCATCTGCAAACTTGAGCTCCTCTGAAGGGTCGCCAACAGAATATAGATGGAACTGGTTTTCTTTAATTCTGCTATAAATGACCTTTCCCTTGAGGATAGTTCTGAAGTCATGGATTTACTTGCAGTGTAAGGAGACGTGCGTGTGGCTGCCAGGGGTTTCATTCCTTTTGAAATCCCGTTTCCTTGGCTCTGCAGCCCACGTCTTACTTCCACATTCGGTCATCTCAGAAGTGGATGGCACGTGGCGGCTTAATGAGCCCTGTCTTTTCTGTCTCCGTGGTTCCTCGTCTGGAGCCTCCGGCGGTTGGCAGCAGCCCGTGATAGTGGACATGGCCCGGCCGGAGTGGGAGGTCTGCCGCCGGCCGAGGCCACACAGTAGTAGTGACCGAGGGGTGAAGTCAGTGGGGGAGGGCCGGCCCCTCGGCAGCATCTGTCGTAGGCATCTCTGACCTCAGTTCCTTCAGCTGGAACAGTGGGTAGAGCTCAGGGGCTGTCCCGGGTGCCCACAGGTGCAAACGCTCATAGACACACAGGGGCATGAGTCCTGCTCCGTCCGGGCCTCCGGGCAGCGTGAGCTGGACATCGGACGCATCCACACGGCCAGAGATGGGCCAGCCCCAGGCCTCCGAATGACCCTCCCTGACTCTGGCCGTGTGTTCCCAGGGATGCCCGGGGTTACCTTTATGTCACTACACATATCTTCATATTTACTGATTTCAGTGTTTCCCAAGTAAGCAGCACCCCAGCTTCACTTGTTCATACGGTCCAAGGCAACCCCCACCTGAGTGTTGAAATAAATTCTAGATCCAGCGTAGAAACGAGAGGCAACGTCTGGGTTTGTTTCGACGCCTCACACTCCCTCCTTTTCCCTTGCCCACCCAATAGATAATCATCATCTTTTCACATTGGTCCACGGACGGGTGGGGGGACTGTCATTTAGGTGGTGGGTTGGGAGGGTTCAGCGGGCTCAGCCTTGCTCCGGGGCTGTCTCAGGGCTGAGCACCTGCGGCCCGGGCTGCAAAGGCCCTCACCCTGCCCAGCGGGTGAAGGAGGCAGGTCCCCTCGGCCCCAAACCACACACCCCTATCCACACTCACACGATGTATGGTTGCTCCCATTTCTGGAGATCCTCAGGATGACCCTCAGTTCTGTGGGCTACACCTCCTAGTCCCCCCTTCTCCCTCATTCTCCCTTAAAACAGCAAACAGGAAGAGGGGAAGGGATGCGGCCGTGCTGGAATTGGGGGCTGGTTGGCTGTGTCCGGTCCTCACTGTCTGTGGAGGATGGGTGTGGGGCTGGGCTCAGGGGCGGGGCGCCCTCCCGGACACAGGAGTACAGCCCGGGATGGTTGGTGCGTGTCCCGGCCACATCCCCTGGCTCTCCCGAGGCGGAGTGTACACGGGCAGCCTGTTGCAATCAATTTAGGAGCAGGCCCGGCTGGACGCTCCCCGCCCCACGCAGAGCGACCATGAAAGGGCCCGGCCACCCCCCTCTGCAGAGCGCTCAGGGAGGAGAAGCACCATCAGCCTCCCAGGGACGGAAACACCTGCTTTCGGTTCACCATCTCCAGGCTTCTTGCTCTCCATTTAATTTCCATCTTAGCCAAAGGGCTGAGAACAACCACACACTAACTTCAGGCATGATTGTGGAGACCAAATACGATTTCCATTGTATCCCCCAAGTCATAACATCCGCTTCAGTTTCCAAACCCCAGTATGAGAGCTCCCTTACGAGCAAAAACCAAGCAAAAATCAACACCTTTTAGAAGTTTATCCTCGCTTGGGGATTGCTGGTGCTCGCTGCCATGCTGGGGGCCTCCTGGCCCGGGACGGGAGGCAGGAGGGTTCCGGAAGGCTGCACGTGGCTGCAGGTGGTTGGATCCGGCAGGGTCCGCGTGGGCTCCGGAGCTGGCCTCCTTGTTTTTATCCAGTTACACGCTCAGGTCTTTCTAGATCCCAAGCGGTTTGCAAGTGTCAACAGCCCAAGTAGGCATTTTAACTGTCTGATTTTCTCTTACAGCTCAGCCATAGTCTTGCTTTGAGGGTTATGGGAGCGTGGCTGGGAGGCCCCTAGGATGGTGGGGTGTTGCCTCCGTAATTTCCCCCTGCCTATTGCCGAGGGCCTGAGGGGCCGTACAGAGATAACCCCACACTGGCGGTATTGGGGAAGGGGCAGGACCGCTGTTTCCATCCCTGGAATTTACTTCAGTGTCATTACATTGTCTTCAAAATGATACAAATAGCAGGGAAAACTTACGTAGCTTTTTAAATTTAGGGCAGCTCCTAATTTACTCAGGGTCTCCTGACTCCCACCGCAGGCAGCCGTCTACAATGCTAATGGAAATTTCCCAGTTTAAAATTAACTTGGGATGTCCTCCGCCTTTAAGTTGATCCCATTGATTGCGAGAGTGCCCGAGATGGCCCACGTCTGATGCGGGCTTTCTGATTTGTACGCGCCCGGGGTTCAAGTGGGTGACCCCTCGGTGCTCGCTGCGGGCCTGTGCTGTCTCTGGAGATGGACCCCGCACCGTGGACATGTCTCGGCTTGGGGCTGAGACGCTTTCCTTGTCAGAGAGCCCCGCGTGTGGTCACAGTGCTGCCCACGGCCCGCTGTCGCCCCTGGGCCTCGGGCACCCCTCCTTCCTCCCCCGACGGCTGCCGTCAGACCCACGTGGCATGGCTCGGGCCGAGCGGCTAGACCATCAGGGCCCGTGTTGGGAAAAGCCCATTAACGGTGGGCGGCCGTCATGACTGATCACTGTCGTGTTCGTCGGGTACCCGCTTGACCCATCTTCTGGACACCTGGCGGGTTCCTCCCGCCTGCCACCAAGCAGTTGGTTTTCAGAGCTGAGGGCCGCGTACTGACGACCTGTCTCGTTTCTTGTTCTGGGCAGATCATCGCGAACCACCACATGCAGTCCATCTCCTTCGCGTCCGGGGGAGACCCGGTAAGTGCCCGCGGCTTGTGTTCCTTGCTCCCTGGGAGTCCCCGAGAAGGGGCCTAGCTTCACAACCGGGAAAGGTAACCGGGATGCCGGCTGCCCCCTCCCAATGCCACATGCTCTTCTCGACGACCATTAATTTTCATTTCCTCAGCCCAAAGCTGTCCAAAATCCTTCAAGTGGTGGCTTCTGAGGAGCTCCTGGGGCCATCCCCAGTCTTAGAGTCATCAGGGTCACCGTCTGGAGACTGCGAGTCCCGCCTCATTCCTTTTTTCTGTTGGGCCTCCACGAGGGCCCTCTGATTTCCTATTTGAAGTCAACTGGAAGGCTGTGAATTTACTTAGTCTGCTTTATTCATAGATGTTTGGAATTAGAATTCTTCTCCCCAAATTTAATGCTGTTGTCTTACTGGTTTGCTTTGCCAGCAGGGAAGGAGTGCAGAGAGAGAGCGAGAGAGCGCGCAGAATGAGAATGTTCTATTTTTGTATTGCCTCTTTCGTTAAGAAGGTGGGGTCACAAAGGGATTTGCTCCTACATCGGTCAAGAGCACTAGGAGGTGGTGTCCGTGCTCAGTTTCAGGGTCACCAGAAAGCCTCCCCCCTTCTCCTCCTCCTCCTCCCTCCTCCTTCTCCCCCACCCACTCACAGCTGCTCCCTGTTGCCCACCAGCCCTTTGGAGCCACCCAGGCAGCAAATCGTCTCCAGGGAAGGAGAGCCTGTCAGCCCTCCCCGCAGCGAAGGGAGGAAAGCACCCCTCCCCCCAAGACTGTTATCATACCATTTCTCATTGGCCCCAGTAACATTTTCACCGATCTGGGGAAATATTTAAAAATTAGGACAACAACAGGGTGCGTATTTTCTTGGACCTAAATTGACTCAAAAAGAAGAATTGTTCTATATCCTGGCAAGACGTCCCTTCGCTGTTAAATAGTCTTCTATAATCGCAGAATGGAGGTTTAGAAGTGGTGTTTTGTTCTGTAGAAGTTTACGGTCCAGGGCAGCCCGCGTGACTGGTGCTGAAGTTGTGTCTGGGTCTGGCCGGGGGGGGAGGGGGGTATTTCCCAGGGTCTGTGTTGATCCCACACGCTCTTCCTCCCCTGCTCCCTTTACCTGGGGAACCTGCCTCCAGCCTGAAGGTGAAATCGAGGGGGCAGTTTCCACTGCTGGTCTGGTCTCCACGTTTCCAAAGGACAGTACCGCCCGGGCCCGGGTGTCCGGGCTGCAGACAGCCTGTGCCCACCGCCCCCGCCCCAGCTGCTGCAGCCCCCTGAGTGGCATCATGGGGCCCAGGGCGCTGGCAGGAGAGGGATTTGCCACCCTGCACGTGGTTCTTTGCCCTCAAACCCCCACCTAATTGACAGAGGATGACAGGGCACCATCCAAGCCCCCCTCAGTACTTCCACTGACTCATGCTGTCTCCCACACTCAGGGTCTTATCCTCAAAAGTCTCCCACCATGGTCTCCTCTTTCCCCTCCCTTCCCTTCTACTTTTTCTTTTTTTTTTAAGATTTTATTTATTTATTTGACAGAGAGAGACACAGCGAGAGAGGGAACACAAGCAGGGGGGTGGGAGAGGGAGAAGCAGGCTTCCCGCTGAGCAGGGGTCCCAATGTGGGGCTCGATCCCAGGACCCTGGGATCATGACCCGAGCCGAAGGCAGACGCTTAACGACTGAGCCACCCAGGCGCCCCTCCCTTCTACTTTCTTTCCAGTCCCTTCATTTCTTACGTTTAATTGTAAAGTGAAAGACCTCATTGAGACACACATCTAGACAGTGGGAGTCGGCCACATCAAAGCCATCTGAAGGGCATCTCTGAGGATGCTATGTGGAGGGACGGGTGCGCCATTCTCCACCTGTGCTGCACCTGCACACCTAACTGTCCTCACACCTTCCCCTGTGTCTGCATTGGCTCTAATCGACTTGCAGGGTCTTTAACTGCTGACCCGATATGATGCTTGGAGCCATAGTTTCTGAAATTTGGGAGGTAACCCAGCCTGAAGAGTAAAAGGAAGAAAAGGACACACCTGTAGGCAACAGATTCTTCCAAGAACTTGTCTCAAACCTCATCTAATGCTGATTTTAGGAGTGGACGTACAGAGATGGAAAATTCTGGAAGCCAAATACATTGGCTAGTGTTAAAATTATGTTACTCTCCAGGATGCACACAGGTCTGTGAGCTGCTTTCAAATTTCCTCATCATCTCATCATTTAAAAAAAAAAAAAAAGGAAGCATTCAGTGACCCTTAAAGTAATTCATAACCTTTTTATATTTTCTTCTGATTTTCTTTTTCTGATGCTGAAAATGTCAGTAGGAGGACAGGAAACCCAGTTACTTTCCATTTTAACCACTCAAATATGTGTTCACGTTGTGCATGAGTTCCCATTCCAAACTGGTTTGTCGCCACTATAATTGGTGGATGTTTGAATAAAACTAACAATTCCAGGTTGTATTCCTGGTTCTGCCACTGAGTTTGTATCTATTTACTGCTTTGTGCTTTGGTTTACCCAGTAAGAAAATGGCATTTTGAAATATCAAATAAGATAGTGAAAAACACTGTTAACCCAACTCCCCCAAAGGTGCTATTATTCTAATCTACTGTAATTAACAGTGTTCCAAGGCCCCCAGGGAGCGCTGGAATACTGGCCAGGCTCAGAAGGTCTCGGAGAGTGGGAACAGGGATGGGATGGGCACTGGACAGGCACCTGGAAGCCCCATCTCAGAACTTGGGGTGTTCAGTGTGTGGCTGTGTGATGTCTAGAACAATGTTCTGAATAGCAATACACCCCCACCCCCACAGTGTGCCAGAAAATGATCAATATTGACATTAGAAGAGCTCAGCTCTGGGTCCATCTGGGGGATGGGACACATGTCACGGCTCCTTCCTGGCCTTCCTTTCCCAGAGCAGCATTTCTCAGGCTGGAGTAAGAGTTTAAAAAGAAGAATTTCCTTGCACTTTCCACTCGTGCTGACTCAAATTGATTTTGTTACCCAGATATGCACAAACATAAATCAAGTATTGACTCCTCCTGTTTCAACTTCTTATTGAACACTAAACCCCAATCCAGGTCAGAAATTTAATACTGATAAACACGGGAAAGCTGACAGCATTCAAAGCTACATTAATTTGCTGTGATGGATGGTTTTGGGTCTCTGCTCTCAGCGTGCCTCTGGAACCTGCCACCACGGTGCAGGATCCTTCAAGGTCGGCCTCTCTCTACTACCTTGGGTGCCTGGATGACTCAGTCCTTCCACTAATTTATTCTATTCAAGCAAGCCCTTCAGGGATACATCATTATGTGCAAATGTGACATTCATTGCTTGAGTTGGGGCAAAATCATCTAGTCTGAGTGTTCTTTTTTCTCTAATTCTTCACAAACCTGGCACCCATAATACCAGAAACCCAATAGACAACCTTGGTGCTGACAGCACACACAGAACTGACACCACAGCGGTCACTCGGGTGGTCCCGGATATTCTTGTATTAATTTTTAAGATTATCATGGATATGAAAACACAAATTGAAAAAAAAATTCTCATGACATCTCAAACAACGGGGACTATACTTGCCCAGCCCCAGGCTTCCACGGATCACAGACTGAGAGACATGAGTGCTGTCCTAGGACCCTTCCAATGCTGTTAGCCCCTGAACCCATGAAAAACATCTGTTGATGTTGACTCCATCTGTTGACTCCAAGCTGCAGATGGCTTCAGATCCCAACAGATCTTCCCTGATGGAAATGACCGGAAGCCGGGTCCACACCCTTCCCAGCTCAGTCTATGAATATACCAGTGGGCAGTGGCCTGAGCAGGAGGATGGAACAGCGTAGGCGGGCTGCACGCCAGAGGGACCCGGGTAGCAGCCCGTCATGTCAGAAGCTGCCAGGAGAGCCCTCGCCATGAACTCTGGGAAATGGCGTACGGACAAGCGCCTGGCACCTGGCACCACGGGCAGTGGGTGCTTGTGACCCCTGCACGCCCCCACACGCCCCGTCCTCCTCTTCCTGTCGGAGCGTCTTCCTGGAGCAGAGAGAGAAGGGGTGGTGTCCTGCCCATGGAGAGAAGTAATGGAGGAACTCACGACACAGAGTCTGTCAGATGCTGAACGCAGGGGGAGCCCATCTGTAACTCTGGAGCCTTCGAAGCAGTGACATTTGGGAAGTATCTGCAACAATGGGATGTGCCTTTACCAGTTGCCCCCTGGAGACTTTTTTGAATGTTGCAAATGTCAACTTTGCAGGGATGTCTTTTCTGCTTTCAACAACGAGGAGAATTATGTTTCCTCTGCCGGTTTAGAAACTAAAACCCACGTGGCGACCCCATCCCACTTCTGAGGACAGGGTTTCCTCCGTGTGGCCAAGCGGACTCGTGTGTCCCCTGTTACAGCCAGACTACTCCACGGAGCTCATGTGTTGGAAATGTCTTAAGAGGATTAAAATTACCGCTTCTGTCCGAGAGGAAAAGCACCATCACATCTCATCCACCCAGGAAGGCGTTTGCCACCCAGCTTCTGGTTTCCTCTCGGCCTCTAGACCAGCAGCACCAGCATCAGTGGGAAACTTCTCGGAAACACACATTTGGGGCCTCATCTCAGACCCACATAATCAGAAACCCCGAGGTGGGGGCCCACAATCTGTTTCCATAAGCCCCGCGAGGGAGGCCTCAGCCCGCTCCGATGAGGACCACGGCAGAGCCGAGGGCAGGGCGCCTCATCCTCCATCATAGCAGAGCCGTCTGGGGAGCCCCAGACCTCCCTCCCTGCCAGTCCAGCTAGGTCAGGTTATCTGGGAGTCAGGCCTCGAGCATCAATGTTGTCAGAGCCCCCGGGGGGTCCGACACGCAGAGGACGGGGTGCCCGTCACGTTCCTGCTGCCGGGGCGCGGGCACAGACAGCAGGGTCAGTGCGAGCTGGGGCGGACGCAGAACTCAGGCCCCGGCCCGCGCCTGCCGAGCCAGAGTCCCCATTTCACGAGGCCGGGGGATCCCTGCCCGCGGAGGTCGGAGGAACACCGGGCCGTCGGAGTCCTGGGCCGGGCTGTGCGCCACGCGTCCAGCTGTGATTAGTGACGTGCATGTCTCCTTACAGGACACAACGGACTACGTGGCGTACGTGGCGAAGGACCCCGTTAACCGCAGAGGTAAGCAGTGCTTGACTCCTGCGGTCTCTCAGCCACAGGCAGCCAGGCTTCACGCCAGGCTCCAGACGTTCCTCATTATCTCCGCCCCCCTGGCCGACCCGAGCGTGTGTCCTGGCGCACAGTTAGTGACCGTGGGGGTTTGTGGGCAGGCAAGTGTGGCGGCATCTTTGGCCGGGTTGGGAGACGCTGGCGACCCTGAGCGTCAAACACGCACCTGCGAGCAGATGGCTGTAGCTCCGTGCACCTGGCCTGCACATCACAGATCCCACGCAGGCCCTGAACGTGGCCTCGGTGACACCTGGACCCTCCACAGCCCGCCCGTCCTCCTGCCCAGCTCCAGCTCCGAGGCCAGCTCCACCACCCCAGAAGCCTCTGCTGCCCAGCACAGCCCTGGAGCGCGGGGGCCAAGCTCTCGCGCCGTCCCCCCAGACGCAGGCTGGATGGGGGATCTGAGGCACTGGAGCACTCTCCACCCTCCCAGACCCTTTATTCCTAGACCCTACCTCCACACCCACAACCCCATTCCTTTGATCATGTACAAAACCCAAGCCCCACCCATGGGTGCTAATAGCCTGGATGGGGGCAGGCTGAGTACAGCGCGCTACCCTCGAATATGGGTCATCCCACAGCCCCAGCGTAGAACTCGCCGCCGAAGATCGCGGCTGGGATTCTAGCAATGCAAAGCAGCCCTTCTGCCTCAGCCGGCTGGTTCCCCTCCCCCCACCCTCCACCCCAGGTACCACCTGTTAACATTTTCTAGTTTGCTTTACAGGACTTTTATCTACATACATACACATATATTCTCTTCTGTTAAAATTCCAGTGCAAAGGAGAGCCTAGCGTTCTATTTCGGCCCCCTCCCCCATACTGCCTCTTGGACACGTTTCCAAGACAGCCCACGGAGAACAGGTTACTGTCCGTGAGGTGACGCCACGTGACGACATGCGTCCGCCAGGTGCTCCGACCCCCGGGGGTCTGCGTACAGACTCCTTCCCTGCTCTTCCCCACGATGTTGTGCGGCCCCTCCTCCCAGAGGCATTTGCAGAGGGATTAGATGGTAGATAGGTCAGTGGACCTTGCAAATCATCACCCAGTCTGGCTGTAAAAATTTGCATTCCTGTGTACGTGCTCCTTCCAGGCAACACCGCGAGGTACCGGAGCCTGGAGACGTGGCTTACATCTGCATCTGCAGGCTCTGCTGCCCTCTCTATCTGACCAACGGGCTCGGCCCTCAGCCAACAGGGAGCTCCCCCTGCAGCCCTGCCTCTTGCAGATGTCCCAGGAACCGACTTAAAGAGGGCCTGGACCAGGCTTCCGGCTCCCTGCCGTGTAGACTAGCAGCCCCGAGGATGGATCCTGCAGCCCCCTCTGCAGAAACCGTGTTGTTCTGCTGTTCTGCTTTTCAGAAGGGAGGGAAACTGCTCGTTTTTGACCCTTCCCCAGCCTACTCTTCTCCGAAGTACCAACCAGGCAGCTCCCCTGGCGGGAGGGGATGCAGGGGTGGGTGTGCGTGGCTGGAAACAGGCAGGTGGGGACCTGGTGTCCCCCTCCCTCCCGCCCAGGCTCCTGCCTCCTTACGGGCTGGAGGGAGACCTCCACTCCTACCGCGTCATGCACAACCATGCACCTCTAACAGCTACATAATATGGGCTTGCTCTGTGTCTCCCGGGTTGATGTTTAATAAAAAATAATACCAACAATAAAATAAAGTAATAGCAGTAATCAGTAACAAAAATACAGCTGGGCATCCGTGTCTTTGGGACACACCTCTTGGCCATCCCTAGTGCTCCCAAAGGGCTTGCACTGCGATCGGGAGCTGCTATACAGTCACTCTGCTCTTCTCGGGATATCCTGTGTCCTCAGTGCACCCCCCCTCCAGTCTAGGGGGGTAGGCAAGACGCCTGAGGACCCCGGGCCTGGCAGTGGCCGTCGGAGGGAGCTGCACCGTGCCCGGCCGGCTGTCCTGCAAGAGGACGGTTTGGAGGTGTTGCAGGTGCAGGGACAGCTCCCCTGTGGAACGCCTCCTCCTGCCACCCGCCCCTGCAATGCCTCTAGGGAACCCTCCTAAAGTACGGTGACGTCCTAACCATTGGCGGGAGCCAGGTGGAGTGTGGCATCCACACTGGTCCTTTTCTCTGGGGAGAATTCTTTACCCCATTAGTGACATGACCCTGTGGGTCACACAGGGAGGGCTGGGACCCCTGTGGCCCCCGCGGACGTGTGTCTGGGAGGAGACATCTTACCTTCCCACTGGGCCGGCGGGTGCCCTTGCAAATCGGCTAAGAGGTGCTCCAGGCCCCCCGAGGAGCCCTCTTCTGGCCACTGCCACCCCAACTTTGATTTACTATTTAGCACAAGCTGCTTTTCTGAGAAGCTGCACGAATATCTGGGCTCACATTGGAGCAGGTGCAAGTGGCGTGCAGTGGGAGGGACCCGTGAATTAATACCCCTTCAAACTCATCTTTAATTTGTTGGAGTTGCCACATTCAGTGAGGACACTGGACTCCCACTGGGAGGTCAGCGAACAAGCTGCTCCCATCCACGGAGTAGCTCAGTCCTTGCCCCTCGAGAGCTGGGTTAGGTCTGTTCCCGGGCCCACGGGGCCTTCGCGGGGCTCACTTCTTGTTACGATCAGGCTCTCTGTCCCATCAACGTTTCCTTCCAAACCCTGGTTCGCTCTGCTGGGCTCGGTGTTGGTACTTTATAGACTGTTAAGAAGTTCCTAAGAGCGATCAACTGGAAATCACAAATGTCTAAATGTATTTACAAATAGAACGGTAGTTTAGAGAGCAGAGCCGTTAAGAGATGCGTCCCCGCGGTGACGTTCTACCGCGGTGGCGCAGGGAGCAGGCTGTGGGTGGCGCTGCAGGGACAGTCCATGAGGGACACGCGCCCCTCCCGTGGCAGAACCTGGCGGCCCCGGTGTCTCTGATGGGCCCTGCCGCTTGCACTCACAGCTTGTCACATTCTGGAGTGCTGCGACGGGCTGGCCCAGGATGTCATTGGCTCCATCGGACAGGCCTTCGAACTCCGGTTTAAGCAATATTTGCAGTGTCCTTCCAAGGTGCCCACGTTCCACGACCGGTGAGTAGTACTGTGACACTCTTCGCGGTGGCCTTTCTGTACTTCACAGTCTTTCCTCTTAAAGCCACTCGAGAGGAGAAAATCACAAAACGGCCTCCACGGGGTGTGGTCTGGACAGACGTGCTCGATCACAGGGCGCCGGGCTCGGAGGCACCTGGCGGGGCCGGGCTGAGGCTCAGGAGCCCCACAGATGGAGGCCGACATATGGGCGATGCAGTGAATGTTGAGGAGAACGTTTTCTAGAAACTATAGAGACGGTAGCCAAGGTTACAGGAATGCACTGTAATATGTTTGGTGCCGTTTCCTCTGCAACCAGGTGCAGGTCCCACGTGTCTCCTCCTTGGGTCTGCATGGCGCAGGTGCGACGTGCTCCTTGTCCTCGCCGTCGTGGTTAGCACGGCCGTGACGCAGGGCCCCGCCGCGAGGCCCTGAGCAGGGTGGCCTGGGGACACCGAGCCTCCTGCGCCCTGGGCACGCATGCCCGTAACCAGGATGAGCCCCGGCAGCTCCAGCTCGTTGGTCCTTCAAGTGTCTAATGAAAGAGTAAATACGAGTAGGAATTGTAAGAAACCTTCAGGATGTCGCACCGAGTTTCCTCAGGACAGAAGAGCATTCTGCACAGCACAAAGCCCCCAGAGAAAGTCACAGGGGGCACGTCAATAGTCTGTCCTTGCTCGGGCTCACATCACGAAAGCCCCTTCCGACGGTGTGTTCGCTGTCAATGAAACCTTATTTCTCCTGAATTTGCTTTCCACTCTTGGTCCAGCGTCCGCAGCCACGTTCTGTGGCTTCCGCGTGAAGGCAGTGTCTACCTTCACCTTCATTCTTACGAAGGAGTCTCTCACCCCTCTGAGCTCTGCCCCTTTCGTGACTGAGGCTTTTAGCCCATTCTCTCATCTCCCGGGAAATGGCTTTTAAGACATCCGTTTGGGAGGTGCCTGGGAAGACCCCACTTTTCCCAGCCGGTAGAAGCTTCCCCGAGCTCAGACGCGGGAAGCGCAGTTAGCTACAGTGTGGCAGGGCCTTTGTACTCTTTATACACACCCATTTATCTGAACAATGTATACACCGTATGTAAAATTTGGAAGTTTGTTCACTAGTCTCCTGCCCCTTTTAAGTTTCATATATAATGGGACATAGTCATTAAAAAGAGTAGACTGGTGTAGGTGTATTACCAGAATAAATCTCAAAAATCTTAAATGGAAAAGGATAGGAAACATTTATGGAAGTTTTAAGACCAATAAATAAAATTGTGCGTGTAGTTTATGGATAAATGCGTGTGTATGAAGAGTACAAAAACATGTAAGAATATTGTACATTGAAAGGGTCTCAGAGCTGTTTTGCCCCCTCCTATGGCTGTCAGGCTGCTGGTTTTCACTGTGATTGTGGGCTGTTGGTTTTCACGGCTACCATGGAGACAGGAATAGGGCAAGTTAAAATGCCACAAGCCACTGTTCTTACAGCTGTTTGCTTTAAAAAAAAAAAAAACAAAAAACCACAAACATTAGTTTGCTGTAAGCTTCTGATTAATATCCAGGGTTCTGAAAAAGTTGATTTTGAAAAACTTTTTTTTTCTAGTTTTCTTGTTTGTTTTATGGAAGAGAGAATTTTCAGAGATTTTTACTCTGTCATTTTCTCCGATGTCACTAAAGTCTCTACTTTTTAGTTGATTATGCTTTGACTTAGGGAAATGAATGTGCCTTGAGGATCTGTCTCTAGATATAAATCCTTTCTTTCCTAATTAAATGTCCTTTTGAAAAAGGAGTTCTTCCCTGTTTCAAATATGGTTGGAATTTTCCTGGAGGTAGAACTGCAAATAAGGTAGAAGTATTTGGCCAAACCATTCATCTGCTTTTTAGGGTTGAGATCTAGATAGTGAGGGGACAGTGACTAACTCCCTTTTCTGGGGTAGCACCTCCTCGCATTAGGTTTGTTGGTTTTGACGACAAGCTCAGCTTTTGGCTAAAGCTCTGGAAAATCCTCTTCTAACAGAATGCAGAGTCTGGATGAGCCTTGGACGGAAGAGGAGGGGGACGGCTCAGACCATCCATACTACAACAGCATCCCAAGCAAGACACCTCCTCCAGGGGGCTTTGTGGATGTGCGGCTGCATGCCAGACCCCACGCCCCCGACACAGCCCAGGTAAGTCGTGTACTTCTGCCTGGGTCGTGGCCACCTGAGCTTTATTTCCTTTCATCTTCCACTCGATTGACAGGCTGTGTTCTGTCCAGTCTTTGACAGAATAACTCACCTGTTTTCTCCCCTGGGATGACACAAAGCAGACAAGTAGGGGAGGCTTTTGTTTTAACATCCCAAGGTGTTAATCAGATGTCTTGGAACTATATTATGATTCTGGAGGTACGAGTCTGGGGGTCTCCTCTCCATCCTGGGACAAATCCCATTATACTGGGAGCTCAATGAGAAGAGGAAAGAGTTCAAGACTTAAAGAGGCCTGGGGGCGCTTTGCGTTCCCCGAAAGGAGAGTGGATGTGGGCCCTTAAAATGATGAGAATTTTATGAGCCTTCTCTTGTACGCATTTCCCTGATTTTTCCTCCAAATCAACATTCCAGTAAGGCAATTGGTTTTTAGAGTTACAGTATCTCTGTTTCATTACGGAGAATTTTTTGATGTCACCTACTTTGTGCGAATAACAATGACACTAATAAAAGTGGCAAAATAACAGTGACATCAAGAGTCAGGAGCTCTGACGCAGAGATGGACGGGGCGGGCTTGGCCAGGTGCGTCTGGTTGTGGGAGGCATGATCTGACACAGAGAAACGCACCAGCCGAAGTTGACTTTACGAGTGACGGCGCTGCATTAAGAGGGCTCCATTTTCGGCCACACGGAGGGAGGGTTGGTGGCGGCAAATGAAAACAGGATGGGCGCGTGTAGTTTTGATGCGAAGCAGCCTCTTCCTCGCACCCACGCAAACCTATTTCCCAAATCCTAATGCTGACCGTGAGGCGTGAAGGGAAAAGTGGGAGTAATTGGGAAAGCACCCGACCCTCCGTTGGGGCCCCTTGTACTGCGCTGTGGCTTTTAGAGATGGGGAAGGGGACGAGGATGCTTTTTCTCTTTATGTATTTACATGTGTCTGTAGTTTGCAGGAAAAGAGCAAACGTACTACCAGGGGAGACACTTAGGAGACCCGTTTGGCGAAGACTGGCAGCAAACACCTGTCAGGCAAGGTGAGAGGCAGGGTGAGGCGGGCTGGCCTCGGGGCACCCTTGGCCCTGCTAGGAGGTCCCCTGGAGGCACTGCCTGTGGGTAGGGGTCCTCGATCAAGCGCTCACCCTGGGCCTCCTGCGCGGAGCCTGGGGCACGAAGGTCTGCTCTGTTTGTGAGGAAGGGTGCCTGACATTGCATTGCTAGAATGGAGTCGATTTACAAAGCAGCCATTTAGGCTTAAAGACAAAACAGGGCAATTTATTTATTTTTTATTTTTATTTTTTTTTAAAGATTTTATTTATTTATTTGACAGAGAGAGACACAGCGAGAGAGGGAATACAAGCAGGTGGAATGGGAGAGGGAGAAGCAGGCTTCCCGCGGAGCAGGGAGCCCGATGTGGGGCTTGATCCCAGGACCCTGGGATCATGACCTGAGCTGAAGGCAGACGCTTAACGACTAAGCCACCCAGGTGCCCCAAAACAGGGCAATTTAAATGAGGCTGTGGCTCTTCTGCTCCGTTCCTTGCTTTGGGGCCTCTGTAAAGGGGATAAGGGGACCCGGGCAGCCTCCCCACTGTGCCTGCTCCGCTCCCCCACCCAGGTCAGGGCCAGAGTCTCGGCCAGGCCCTAGAGATCACGTGTCCACCCTCGCGGGCTGCCCAGTCGCATTTTGACATGAAGGCTGGGAAATCGTCTGGGCCAGAACACAACAGCGGTGCCAGGGTCCGAAGACGGGCATCAGACCCGCAAGAGGAATTACCTAACAGCCCATAGGATCGTCTCCGTGTGGGGTGGGGCAGCTTACGGGCAGATGCACCCCTGACCAGCTTTTCCGTTGTAAGAGAAGAGGGGGCTCGTTTTCTTGTTGCAGGGTCCTTGGACATCTACGGCATGCCGGAGGGGAGAGCTCCCGCAGCCCCTGGAGAAGCCCCCACCTATGTGAACGCGCAGCACCTCCCGCCGCAGGCCACGCCGGCCTCAGGCAGCAGCGCGGAGAGCAGCCCGCGGAAGGACCTCTTCGACATGAGTGGGTTGCCATTCGTCTGGGTTTCCTGTCTTCTGAGGGTGCTTTCTGCCTTCTGTTGAAACCTCTGCAGTTAGCTTCCTGCTAGCAGGGTTCTGATGAACAGGGATGACCGTCTGCACTTTCCTGGGTTGTGATTGGGCTTTTCAGGGCTTTGAACTCGGCTCACCTCTGCTTTGGGATGACAGCCCTCTCTGAGGTCCAGAGGCAGAGTAAATTCCCCTCTTTTTGGAACGGACGTTCCTCTTGAAGAGCTGCCCATGCATCGAGGCAAATGATACACACACAGAGCACTCGCTTATTCACTTAAATATTAGTCAGCTGTTATGTGCCAAATACTGTATCAGTTGCCAAGGATGCCAAGGTGAAATGCATGCCTGTTCTTCACAGAGCCCTCGGTCTGTTGAGCAGGACCAACACGTACACAAGAAAGGGCGATACACCTCATGTGCACACACTCGCTTGCTCTCCCGTGTTCCTGGTATTCACATACCATTCTGCTTACTGGGGTCTGTAGGAAAGCCAAACAGAGGGTCTCGTGGAGCGTAAGTAACCATGGTGTGTTCACGGGTAGCAACAAGTGCCCGGGGGAACCCCAAAACAGGGTGAGGAGTGTGACAGGAAGCTTCTCAGCAGTGCAGAGATGCGCTATGGACCTTCAGTTTGTCGTGTGGACTGAGACGCGTAAATCATCCATGAACTTGGTAATGGAAGTAGGAATTGTTGCTAGGAATTTTGAGGGAGCTTCCCGAGTTCACAAAGAGCTTTACATCTCCATATTGTTTTGAAAGCTCCCTGAGAATTTTACAGGCTGGAGAAATCCCTTGAGAATTTAACAAGTGTCTACCATGTGCTAGGCACCTGCTACTTTAATTTCTGCAACAGTCCTGTAGGTAACTACCATTATTGTCGTGCTGTCACGGAGGAGAAAATGCAGGCTCCTAGAGGCTGGTCAGGGCAGGCTTGCGGGCGCGGCGCACGCTCTCCATGGTGCCATGTGTGAGTGAGGATGTGCTTGAGTGCTGCTAACATCAGGCAGCCTCCTGACCACAAAAGTCTCTTTCTCCTCGGACGCTTTGGTGTCCCACGCAGTGGATTCCCATTCTGACTGGCAAAAATCACCACCGACAGAAGAACTGGGGACTCTCGGGGCTTGGAGTCACCTTAACCGTCATCAGATCAAATCCTGTCTCTTAAAAAATGTGGGAACGGTCTCAGAAGTATGAAGCGACTTTCCCAAGACACAGAGCAAAGCGGCGGCTCTCTGAGCGTCCATTCCAGCTCTAATGAGGTTTCCCAACAGCAGTTTAGAAGCAATATTTATGGTCAATTTTCACTGTTTAATTTAGTCAATTTGCCAGTGGCTCTTGGCCCCAGAGCCTGAGGAGAGGTAGATAAGACGAGGGTTTGAGATGGAAAAGTGAGAACTAGAGCCACCCTTTGTCATCCATCCATTTCCACCTGCTCCCAAACCAGAGAAGGGGAGGCAAGAAGAAGAAAGGGCCTAGAGAAGCTAGTTTCTATTGAAAAGTCTGGAAAAAGAATTATGCCAGCACGCTGTGTTGTTTCTCTTAAACCACCAGAGCTAAATAATGATGGTGCTGCTCCTGGTGCTGATGGTAGCAGTGGTGATGATGAGGATGGTGGTGATGATGGTGGTGATGGTGATGAGGGTGATGGTGGTGAGGATGGTGATGATCATGGTGATGGTGGTGATGAT